ATTAATGACTGCTCAAGACCCCTTTGCTTTGTGGCGGCACGCCTGAAGGTAGAGAAGAATGTTCGGGTGGCTCGCCTGATATTCTTTGGGTTGAGGCATGTGTTTAACTTGACTGTTAAATAATTTCTTGACAACAGGACACCCAAAACTGACAATTAATGACTGCTCAAGACCCCTTTGCTTTGTNTGAGGCATGTGTTTAACTTGACTGTTAAATAATTTCTTGACAACAGGACACCCAAAACTGACAATTAATGACTGCTCAAGACCCCTTTGCTTTGTTCTCCCTTGTCTGATAAGAGGGAAGATGTATATGTATTGTGGGGTAAAATATTCCTTGGTTTGCAAAAAGTATATATTGTTCTTGTCTTCCCCAGCTGTGGGCACCAAGATTACAGAGTTCTTGACAGATTGGTCCCACAAAAAGGATGAGTTATCAGAAAAATTTAAGGACATTTACAATTTCTCAAAACCCAAGAGTGTTGGGAAGGGCAAAGGTGGAAAGTCCAAGTCTCAGGTGGTAAACCATAACGCACAAGGACTGTGTAGCTATGCAGCAGATTTGATGATTGAGCTATATTTAAAGGTTAGTTCTTGCCTGATTAATTCTGGTCTCATTATTATTTAGCAAGGAAATTATATATTTATAACTCTTTGCATGCATGTGTATAATTGTGTATCATATGAAGCTAGAATATTGTTTCAATTGGAATGCACTATTTCAATTGTAAAATAAATAAATCAAGGGCAGATCCAGGACTATTTGAGGAGGGGTTCCGAACATAAGTTACTTTAAACCTGTACCAAATCAATCAACTGAATCTCGGGTATGACAGGCTATGCAGTATTCAATTTCTTTTTACTTAATTGTGCAGTACCATCAAATCATAATTTCTTTACAGAAATCAATTATTAAATTAATATAATCACTTTTTACAGGTTTTTACTCAGTGGAAAGAAATAGCTCTTATAATAAGAAAGAAAGAGTTCAGTAATGACGAAGAAGATGCTATTGACGTATTTGATTTAAAGGTATATTTAATTGATGACTCATAACCTTGTCTTGGTTTGGGAAAGGAGAAGCAGGATAGATCTATTCAATAGTGGCAATGAAAAAATTAAAAGGGGAGTGCACATTAAAGTTTACCACAAGGAATATACTATGGAAAATATAAAATTCTCTTCCACAGTGTTAGTTTAATACCGAATAATTGTACAAGAAATCTCAATCTTTATCTTTTATATAATTTCTTTACTTTCAGTGTAAAGAATGGGGCTACCTCCTCAGACATACATTTGGACCACGGCTGGGAACAGGTGATTATGGTCACATGGTCATAGATCATGCCTCCATGCTATTACGACTGCACCGATCCATTGGGAAAATGTCAAACCAAGGTTTTGAGGCCAACCATAAAATTCACCGGCAGTTGTATGCACAAGCCTCATCACATGATTCTCCAGGTCATGCAGCATCTTGTAAGTATAAGATAATTGTGAACCGAGTATGGCCAGTCTATGAAAGCTAGTTCATAAAAGTCTCAACAGTAAATAAATTCTACCCTGTATGATATTTTGTGCTAAAGTCTTCCATCTCATTTAAAGAGATGCTAGTGTTAAGAACTCAAATTGGTGAGGTGCATGTCTTTAAGACAAAAAATTAACAAAGTAGACCTTGTTTACAAATTAGGCCTTTGCTACCCTGCTTGCATGCAGTTGCCCACAATCCCAACTGCATTTGATGGCCATTCATGAAAAAGCTCTCAAAGTAAGGAACACAGTCTTATTTCAGTGATTCTGAATTTAGTTTTTTTCCTTTTTCAGTGGAACAGATAATAACCCACCAGTACAGTGAGGAACTGCTGTTCCTGAGGTTATGTTTCCGACAAGCAATTGTGTCTATTGAGAAAAGTAAGTGATAAGCCTTATTTTTTAGAAAATAGGAAAGTAACTGAGAGTTTAAAGGTGTATCAATGGAAAGATGTAATGACAAAAAGAAATTAAAAAATTAATACTTTTATTGATTATGTCAATGATAATGGCACCTAAAGCCGGGTTTTCACTAATGATTCAATCATAAGCATAATGACATATGCAATCACCAAATACTTAGAATAGCCTTGACATTCAGGTAATCTGGCTCACATTTTTATTGCAGGGACACCATTTCATTTTCCTGGATGCCAATGGAAAAAAAGCCATAAGATAGTGGATTGGTCAAGCAATGACAGAACCTGGATATACAAAGTTGATGCTCTTTTCACTGCTATCTTTTCACATGATACCTTACGGTATCAATACCAAAAGAAGGTTCTTCAAGATGGCAGCATTAAGAATGGGAAATGTATTGTCCACCCAGATGATCTTCCAACTTTTGTATACAGTCGAACCTCTATTAAGCGGCACTCTATTAAGCGGTCACCCTCTATTCAACGGTCACTTACTAAAGTCCCGAATTTTCTCTCTCATGTATACTGTAAACTTGACCCCTATTAAGCGGTCACCTCTATTAAGCGGACGTGGTCACCATATCAACGTACCAATT